ACAAGTTTGTGAAGAAGCTCAAGTTCCGCATGCTCTCCCTGTCTCTCATCATTCCTTCCATGGATCCAGGAGACTGGTATGCCGTCCTCGAGTTAAAGGACGCATACTTTCATATTGCGATAATCCCTCAGCACAGGCATTACCTCAGGTTTCTCGTGGGCAATGCTCATCTACAATTTACGGTTCTGCCCTTTGGTCTGTCAGCGGCCCCAAGGGTCTTCACGAAGTGCATGGCAGTCGTGGCTGCCTTCCTACGCAGACACGGGATCCAGGTGTTTTCCTACCTGGACGATTGGCTCATCAAGGGCAGGACCAGGGCGCAAGTGGAGGCTCAGGTGGTCTTTGCCAGGCAAACCTTCCTCGAGCTCAAGCCTCTTACTCAACGAGGCCAAGTCCACACTATCTCCAACCCAAAAAATCTAATTCATAGGAGCGGTTCTGGACACACGCCAGGGCATAACTCCCAGATGCCAGATTCCGGACTATATCCAACATTATCCTTGGCCTCCAACATTACCCGACCACCACAGCAAGAGGCTGCCTCAAATTACTAGGGCACGTGGCAGCATGTACCTACATGGTGAGACACGCCAGACTCAGACTGCGCCCACTCCAGTCTTGGTTGGCATGGGTTTATCGGCCAGTCAGGGACTCCCTAGAGTCGTTGGTGACGTTACCTTGGCCGGTACTGGACTCCCTTCAATGGTGGCTCGACCCGCGGGTGGTCTGTGCAGGAGTTCCTTTCCTCGACCCCGAACCCTCCCTCTCCCTGGTAACAGACGCATTGGATCGGGGATGGGGTGCTCCTTTGGACGATCTCAGAACCCAAGGCCTTTGGTCACGAGAGGACTTTTCGCTCCACATCAATATCAGGGAATTACGAGCTGTGCACCTCGCATGCATAGCCTTCAAATCCCAGCTGGCAGGCAGATGCGTTTCTGTCCTCACGGACAATACTCCAACGATGTTCTATATCAACAAACAGGGTGGTGCTCACTCCTCTCCCCTTTGCCGGGAAGCCGTCGCATTATGGGACTTTTGCGTACAGAACGTCATTCACCTGACAGCATCCTACCTCCCGGGGGCGCAAAACGGACTCGCGGACACACTCGGCCGCTCGTTCCAGGTCACGAGTGGTCTATCCACTGGGATATAGTTCTCTCAATTTTCCGGCTCTGGACCTGTTTGCCTCCACCAAGAACAGGAAGTGTCAACAATTCTGCTCCCTCAGGGGACGCAGTCCGGGGTCCCTAACAGACGCCTTTCTCCTTTCTTGGGCAGACGGGCTATTTTATGCCTTTCCCCCGATTCCCATGATTCACCGAGTAATCCTCAAGGCCCGCAGAGATCACGCGCGGCTCATCCTGATAGCGCCGGCGTGGCTGCGCCAGCACTGGTACACGTTTCTCCTGCACATATCTATGCGGGAGCCACTCAGGTTGCCCCTACTGCCGGACTTGATCACACAGAATTGCAGTCACCTGCTTCACCGGAACCTGGAGTCGCTCCACCTTACGGCCTGGATGCTCCATGGCTAAACCCGGTGGAGTTGCAATGCTCTCATCAGGTCAGGCAGGTCCTTCTGGGTAGCAGGAAACCCTCTCCAAGGACCACGTACTTGGCCAAGTGAAAGCGCTTCTCCCTCTGGGCCACACAACGGGGTCAGGCCCCCTTGCTCACCCCGGTCCCTCTCATATTGGACTATTTGCTACATCTGAGACATCTGGGACTAACTCTCTTGTCGGTTTGAGTACACCTTGCTGCAATCTCGGCGTTCCACCCGGGAGAGGGGGGTACCTCTGTGTTTGCGAACCCACTCGTTACCCGGTTCCTCAAGGACCTTGACAGACTGTTCCCACACATCCGCCAACCTGTCCTGGCTTGGGACCTCAATTTGGTCCTGTCCGTCCTCACAGGGCCCCCCTTCGAGCTGCTGGGTTCGTGCTCGCTGTTATATCTTTCATATAAGGTCGCATTCTTGGTGGCTATCACATCAGCCCGGAGGGTGTCCGAACTCAGAGCTCTAACATCTGAACCCCTGTACACCGTCATCCACAAGGACAAGGTCCAACTCAGGCCGCACCCAGTGTTCCTGCCTAAGGTGGTTTCCCCTTTTCACATGGGTCAAGACATTTTTCTCCCGGTCTTTTATCCGAAACCACACTCCTCTACGAGGGAGCGTAGGTTGCATTCCCTCGACGTTCGCAGGGCTCTCGCTTTCTATATCGAAAGGACGAGGTCCTTCAGGAAGTCAACCCAACTTTTCTTTGCTGTGGCCGACAGGATAAAAGGGCTACCGGTCACGTCACAGCGAATTTCGGCTTGGATCAGAACCTGCATCCGGGAGTGCTACAGTCGGGCCAATATACCAGCCCCGCCTATCACGGCCCACTCCACAAGAGCGCAGGCCTCTTCCGCTGCGTTCCTGGCCCGGATGCCGACGCAGGCAATTTGTAGAGCGGCCACCTGGTCCTCAATCCACACCTTTACGGCGCACTACGCCATCATACACCAGGCCAGAGATGCTGCTGCTTTTGGCCGCACAGTCCTCCAGTCTGCAGTAACCTCCGACCCCACCGCCTAGATTCAGGCTTGTGAGTCACCTGCTTGGAATGGACATGAACAATCACTCGAAGAAAAAAAAACGGTTACTCACCTTCTCGTAACTGTTGTTCTTCGAGATGTGTTGTTCATGTCCATTCCAATACCCACCCTCCTTCCCCTCTGTCTGCGTATCGGCAAGAAGGAACTGAGGGGGTGGAGGGTCGGTTGGCCCCTACATACAGCGCCATGAAGGCGGCACTCCGGGGGGCGCCGAAGCCGACCCTACGGACGCTGCTATAGTAAAATCTTCCGGCTGGCGTACACGCAGCGTGCGCACACCTGCTTGGAATGGACATGAACAACACATCTCGAAGAACAACAGTTACGAGAAGATGAGTAACCATTTTTTCCTAAAACATAAAATCAGTTCTTCTTTCTTTTAAATACATTTTCAATTTTTATTGCCATACATTTTAAAATAATTTTTATTAAGTTGACCACTTTTTAAGTTTATAAAGTTTATCAACTTTATTAAGTTGACCCTGCTGTCATAAGAAAAATTGAAAAGCTTTATCTGAGACTTTGCATAATTTTTAACCCCCTCTGTGTAGGATAATCTGCTGTCCATGCTCTGTTAGCAGATTGAAGCTGAGTAAGCCTGAGAGGTTGATCAAAAAGTCTTTACAAAAAATTATTTCAAGACTTTAAAACTAAACTTCCATCAGAAAAATGTTTTTGCATTTGAATAAAAGGCTTTTTCAGGCATATTCATCTTTTTTGTCAGTTTCAGATAATCATAGAAATGTAGGACTGCAAAGCATCTTGAGAGGTCAGCTAGTCCAACTCCCCATCCTGAGGTCGGATCAAATATACCTAGACGAACTCTGACAGGTGTTTGTCTAACCTGTTCTTAAAACCTCCCTGTGACAGGATTCCCACAACCTCCCTTTGGAAGTGTATTCCAGTGCTTAACTATCCTTATAGTTAGAAAGATTTTCCTGTTATCTAATCTAAATCTTCCCTGCTGCAGTTTAAGCCGATTACTTCTTGTCCTACCTTCAATGGACATGGAGAAGAATTGGTCACTGTATAATAGCCCTTAGAAACCAGGTTTTCTAAACCTTTGATAATTTTTGTTGCTCTCCTCTGGACTCTCCAGTGTAAGAAAGATATTGGCAAAGTGTGGTGCCCAAAACTGGACACTGTACTCCAGCTGAGGTGTCACCAGTGCCGAGTAGAGTGGGACAATAACCTCCCGTGTCTTATGTATTGCACTCCTGTTAATACATCCCAGAACGATACCAGCCTTTTTTGCAAATGCATTGTATTTGATCCACTATAACCCACAGGTGCTTTTCTGCAATACTATAGTCTAGCTAGTTCTTTGTATTTGTGCATTTGAGTTTTCCTTCCTAAGTGTAGTACTTTACACTTGTCTTTTATTGATTTTCATCTTGTTGATTTCAGACCAATTCTCCAGTTTGTCAAGGTCATTTGAATTCTAGTCCTGCCCTTCAAAATGCTTGCAATCCCTTCCAACTTGGTGTCATCCACAGATTTTATAAGCATACTCTTCACTTCATTATCCAAATCATTAATGATGATCCAAGTTACTAATTTCAGATATTCCTCTCTAACACAGCTATAAAGGTGAAATGACATCACTTATTTGTGCACACTTCAGTATACTTTCAATATTAAATACTGTTGCCATTTGATCACATCTTTGAACAAAAGTGTAGTCTTTTTATAGTATCAAGTTCTTTTCTTTACACATTTTAATGTCTAAAACTATCTTTTCACTGGTGATCACGATAATTCTTGCCATTAACAAGATTTTATATTTTAAAGTACAATACCTAGCCCTAGCGAGTTGTGGTGAGTACCGAGGAACAGTAGAAATTCTTAAACGGGTTCTGGTGTAGTGATTAGAAAGAGCATATTCTGGTCTCTAATACTCTTTAAAATTTAGTGAAACTTAATGTATTAAACTTTTCTTCCCCTCTCCACCCCCACACCCTCCCCCCCAAATAGCTTTGGAATGGGAAAGCTATTTTTTCTTTTGGTGGGAGGGAGGAAGGTCTAGTTCAAAAACTTTTTCCTGCCCCAGAACACTTTGAGGTGGCTGAGATACCAAGTTTCCCAAGGTAGGGGATTTGAATGAAAACACACAGGATTTATTAAATGATTGTGTGCCGATTAAAAGACATTTGAGGATTGATTGTTGTCATTCTGGTGAACAGAACCATAGTTATGCACTTGCAGTGTCTTATTTATATGATATTCAGGTCTGTAACTTGTTTTTTTTTTAAAGTCAGAGTGTCAAAGTATGATCCTGAAAGGAAGAAAGCTTTAAGTTCCTACTTACAGCACAATTTAATGACTTTTTAATCGTTCTTTGTTATGTAACAAGAGTTTGAAAGTGACCAAAAATAACCATTTCTTTTCTTCTCCAGATATTCACTAACTGGAGGAAGTACTTCGTCTCACTGAAGTATTGGTTTTGAATTTTTCAAAGTCAACAGGCCATCCTGTGGTGTCTGCATTGAGGAAGTGCTCTTTAATGTTGATCTACCGCTCAATAAATGGAGTGTTCTTCAGTGAAAGGACATTCCTGAATGTGCAACAGCAAAAATGAAGTCTCTCAGATGGGGTGTTGTTTTTCAGCTCCTTAAAGCTATAGTTTTTTTTAACCATAATGCACATATTTAAGGGAGAAGTGTCTTTTTATGACATCTGCAATGTATATTTACGTTTGTGATAAGGACACTGAAGATATTGTGAAATCTCAGGTATTTTGCTTTAAGATAACTCCTTTGGGAGATAGAAAAGCGTTCTGTTGGATTTGTGTACAGATTTGTATATAGTGTCATTTTTGTACTGAAACCCTTTAAACCTGTATAAGGAGTCACTGTGTACAAAATGACCAAATCTTCTGTAGATAATGTTAGTGAGGTAAATATTTGACAGGCCATAACTGAGTATTGCGTTGCCTTTATTACATGTAAAATTACAATTATGTGACAAGTGATTTTGGTTTGATTTTGTATTTGACGGGTTCACCATGAAAAGATAGTAAATGCCCTATTATGGAAATCTCCTATTTGTACCTCAGCGTATCCAAATTTCCTCATTTGTCCTGCATCCCTCTCTTTTTTACACTTGGAAGCTGGCTTTCTGATTATGGTACTACTTTTGGTTTATTTAAATTTAACACATCTTGTCTCATATAAAGCTTTAAATTGTTTATTTTTTCCCTACAGAATTTTTTCACTTTTACATTTCAGTTTTAAATTGTGCCCGTGTAGATTCTGAATCATATGTATTGTCCAGGTTTAGTAATATATACTTGTTGAAGCTTGTTGTGAAATCTAAATACCTTTTACATCTATACATATCTGAATGCTTACATAAATAAATTTTATAACCTACATATATTTTGAAATCTTGAAATATCTTACAACCTTGGCTTTCAGAGAGTGGATAAATGTTTCATAGACAGGGCAGCTGTTTTTAATTATAAAATGAAATTGTCTCGGGGAGTAAAAGAAAAAATTGAATTTATCAGTATATAGAAAGGCCCAATTCTGTAGTCCTTAAATCTATGCATCTCCTATTGAAACTGATGGGAGTTACAGACATCAGTATTGCAGGATTGGGCCCAAAGTACAGAGTATTCCATAATCTCTATCACAAAAAAGTATGTGAATTTTGATCGGTTGAAATGAAAATCTCCAGCACTGCTGTGGTCACTTCTGAATAACTTTATTAAGTGTTTCAGTCTCCTTGGAAATGGTAGTTGTATGTATTTTGTGAAGTGACATCTCTTCATGGTATTTACTATATAGTTTAGTATCGTTTGCTTTACCAAGGGCAGAAATAAGTAATTTGTTTCCTTGGTAGGCAGGAGAGGGAGGATTTTGTCTTGTTTTACTCCACAAATTGATAATTACACGTCAGGTGTGTATTTTTGATGCAATGTAATTGTCAGATCTCTAGTTATCTGTTCTCACATTATTTTAGAACTAGAAAACAAATGACTCTTGGAAGCGAATGAAATAAATGAATAACGTAGATACACTATACCTGCCAGCCTATAGCATAATTTTGCCAGGGAAAGGCTGATTGTTAAACGGTGTGGTTCCTATATAATGAACTAAAGAGCTGTTTTTCAACCCTCTCAACTTAATTATCATTTTAATGATTATGTAGTATTTTGTGTGCTCTTCAAGCTATGAAGACATAGTTTAATCTAGAGGAAATAAACACACAACTGCCCCTTACTAACTGGAAATGTGCATTTGAATCTTGATGCAGTGAAATGAGGAATTTACCCTTTTCAATGCAGAAATCAACAGAGTCAGTTCTACCATTTGAGAATATGTAGTGGTAGTGTTGTGGGTGGCATATAGAAATAATCAGAGATAAATTGAAGTTTAAATGGAACCACTGAAACCTTCCCAATGTGATCTGTTACTATAAGAATGTCTTTAAATGAGCTAGTTGGGAAAGAGCACACTTTGAAGATTTAGAGGCAAGTCAGATTTACAAGACAATATGGAGTTTCACTTTGAAATTTCTGAAGCAGAAGTTAGTCAGAAAATTGTCTGGTGTTCAGAAGGTGTAATCATTGACCTGTCCTTTTATTTTGTTATGAAAAACTACCCAGTTTGAGATTCATTGAGGATGATTGTAACAGATGATGCTTGGTGAAGGCAACCTTTGATTAAATAACTAAACAGATAGAGACACAGTTAGGTGGCCAGTTGGCCAAAAGCATAAGACTTAAAAAGAAAAACATAGTTAATTTATGGTGTAGATCTGAGTATTTTTATATATAATATAATATATATATGTTAATGCAGATGAATCTTCAGATACGATGATTCACTTAAAAAATCAACGTTTTGTCTTGAATGTAAAATGACAATCATTTGCTGGAGAAAAATGTTAGTTTCAGAAATAAATCTGTACCAGTAATAGAAAACTTCTTTCATTTGAGGTCAATATGCCTCTGAGATAAGTATGGCATAAGCAGTCTCTGAGGCAAGATACGTAAGAAAATGTTAATATTATTTTGAGAAAATGTCTTCTGCTAAGAACTTGACATTATACTATTGCACTTAAGCTAAATTTTTCTGGTACCGGTAATGCAGCTATGTAAAAATTTATCTTGAGTAGAGTGAAGGCTCAATCCAAATTAACCTTACTAACAAGTATTACGCTAGTCATGCAGATGTTGAACTCAGTGGACTCTTCACTTGTAAGAGGTTGCGAGACTAGGCATTAAATAAACTGTTAAAAAACAAAAAGTTAAACAGAAAAATTCTTTGAAAATGGAAAGATGTTTTTTGTGTGTGCACATCAGGTGTATGTGTTTTTTTAGTTAATAACCTTAATTTCCCTTGCAGTTGCACTACTGTAGTTGATAAACACTGTTTAGTAGAGCCTGGTGGCATTACTATCATTGCACCAGGCCTCTGGTAAAATAATGAAACAGTTCTTCTGTTTCTCACAATGTAATCAAGTGCCATTGCCTCTTGAAAGCTCCAACAGTTTGTAAATGGTTCTTGAGTTGTACTTGTGAAGTGTCTGGTTCAGTTCTTGATCTTTTATATAGCACTTTGGTTTGTTGTTTTTTTTGTGAACACATAGTACTGATGTCTGTTTGTAACAGTTTATTTCCTTTCTTAAAGAAACATCGCTAACGTATTTCAGCTACCAATATGGCAATAAAGCGGGAGATCATCAGGAAGTGTTCATATAGGTATAAGTGTGCATAGGTATAGTGCAAGGGTCAATAAAGATCACAGAAACTAAATTATTCTTGTGGTGTGTGTGTGTGTGTGTGTGTGTGTGTGTGTGTGTGTGTGTGTGTGTGGT